CCTTAAAAAAAAAAAAAAAAACGTGAAAAAAAAAAAAAAAATAAAATACCAAGGTATAAACCTAACCAAGGACATGAAAGACCTATACTCTGAAAACTACAAGACACTCATGAGAGAAATTAAAGACGACACAATAAATGGAAATGCATCCGAACCTCATGGATAGAATATTTAGTATTGTAAAAATGGCCATCCTGCCTAAAGCAATCTACAGATTCAATGCTATCCCTATCAAAACACCTACAGCATTATTCAACTAGAACAAGTAGTTCTAAAATTCATATGGAAACACAAAAGACCCCATATAGCCAAAAAAATCCTGAGAAGGAAGAATAAAGCTGGGGGGATTACACTCACCAAATTACTACAAAGCCACAATAATCGAGACAATTTGGTACTGGCACAGAACAGACCCATAGATCAATGGAACAGAATAGAGAAGCCAGATACAGAACCACAGATATTTGGCCAATTAATGTATGATAAAGGAGCCATGGATATACAATGGGTAAATGAAAGCCTCTTCAACAACTGTCGCAAAACTGGACAGTTACATGTAAGAGAATGAAACAGGATTATTGTCTAACTCCATACACAAAAGTAAACTCAAATTGGATCAAAGACCTGAATGTAAGTCATGAAACCATAAAACCCTCACAAGAAAACATAGGCAAAAATCTCTTGAATATAAACATGGGCAACTTTTTCCTGAACACATCTCCTTCAGTAAGGGAAACAAAATCAGAAATGAACAAATGGGACTACACCAAAGTAAAAAGCTTCTGTAGAGCACAGGACACCATCAGCAGAACCAAAAGGCATCCTACAGTATGGGAGAATATATTCATAAATGACATCCAATAAGGGGTGAACATCCAAAATACAGAAATAACTCACATGCCTCAACACCCAAAAAGCAAATAATCTACTTAAAAAATGGGCAGAGGATATGAACAGACACTTCTCCAAAGAAGAAATTCACATGGCCAACAAGCACATGGAAAGATGCTCCACATTGCTAATCATCAGGGAAATGTAAATAAAACCACAGTGAGATATCACCTCATACCAGTTAGGGTGGCCAACATCCAAAAGACAAGAAAAACCAAATGTTGGCAAGGATGTGGAGAAAGGGGAACCCTCCTACACTGTTGGTGGGAATGTAAATTAGTTCAACCACTGTGGAAGGCAATATGGAGGTTCTTCATAAAACTAAAAACAGAAATACTATTTGACCCAGGAATTCCACTCCTAGGAATTTACACTAAGAAAACAAGATCCCAGATTCAAAAGGACATATGCATTCCTACGTTTATCGCAGCACTCTTTAGAATAGCCAATATATGGAAGCAACCTAAGTGTCCGTCAGGTCAGTAGATGAATGGATAAGTGGCTGAACAAGGTTAACTGGTTGAAAACATGGCCACTTAAGCTAAAAAGAAAAAAAAATGCTACAGTTGCTTTGTTAAGCCTGAGGTCCTGAGCATGATATTTGCCTTCAGAAGAGGACGTGGCAAGCTTGTAACAACACAGCTTCCTCTCCAGAGCATTCTCCTAAACAAAATTAATCTTTGTCTCCTCAAATCTTCCATTGCCCTCTTTTTGCTCAGTAAATTATTAACCTCTAAATGAGAAAGACATGTCAAGACATTTTTCTTTAACACTGTGTATTTTTCAGAAAATAAATTTATTGAATGAAAGAATCAAAGACTATAGATTCACCAATATAACGATAACATATATTTTTGTAATGTAGCTTGTAATCTTTATATCACCAAGTTCAGAATTAATATCTTACAGTATTATCCTGTTTGTAATCCATTGCTCTGTTATTCCAAACAGACTAAAGAGGTGGTACATATACACAATGGAATATTATTCAGTCATAAGAAAACAAATCCTACCATTTGCAACAACATGGATGGAGCTAGAGGGTATTACATTCAGTGAAATAAGCCAGGAGGAGAAATACAAGCACCAAATGATTTCACCCATTTGTGGAGTATACATCAAAGCAAAACTGAAGGAACAAAACAGTAGCTGACTCACAGACTCCAAGAAGGGACTAGAGGTTATCAAAGGTAATGGGTTGGGGAGGGTGGGTGGGGACTGAGGGGATTAAGGGGCATTATGATAAACCTACATAACGTAGGGGGTCACAGGGAAGGCAGTATAACACAGAGAAGACAACTAACTTAATAGCATCTTATGGTGATAGTGACTGCAATGTGGTGTGTGGGGGGACTTGATAATATGGGTGAATGTAGTAATCACAGTGTCGCTCATGTGAAACCTTCACAAGATTGTATATCAACGATACCTTAAAAAAAGAAAAAAAGAATTGGCAGAAGGCGAAAAACCTAGAAAAAGAAAAAAAGATTTGGCAGAAGGCGAAAAACTTGTCAATACTTGCAGATGGTACTGATCATCTACACTGAAAATGCAATGGAATCAACAAAGTATTATAATTAATATGACAGCTCAGCAACGAGTCAGATATAGGAACCATTTGCAAAAACCCCCCGTGTTCCCCTACACCAGTAATAAACAAAAAAAAGGACATCATGTGCAACAACAAAACTATTAACATATGTAGAAAGTAATTAACAAATGAATACTTAAAGATCTTGACAAAGAAAATTTCCAAAATCTAGAAAGATTGAATATTAGAATAAATGCAGATATCTGAAAGTAAAGATCTCAAATCTCCCCAGCTAAATATCTGATTTCAAAGCAATTTCAATAAAAATTTCAGCTGGATTTTTAAAAAAGAACTTATCAGACTGCTTTTGAAATGTTTATGGAAGAATGAAAGTCCAGAAATACTGAGCTAATTCTGAGAAAAGGTAAAGAAGGTGAGGGGAACTGGAGCCCTGTCACAGAGCCACTAAAGTAGGAAGTCTGTTCCTTATCACTCACTCTAGGGGAAGAAAGCAGACTGCTCAGACATAAATACGAGTAGATATAGGAACGTGACAGATGAGAATGGTAGAACTACAAAGCACTTTGGAAAGAATGGACTCTTTACTAGATGCTGCTGGAAAAACTGGTTCATGACAGAGGGAAAGAAAATAAGCTGTACCCCTTAACCTCGCTTTCTATATAAAGTGGACCTGGTGGTCACTGAAGACCTAAGCACAAGCTGTAAAACAGCAAAGTGGAGGAAAATGCAGGGAAATGCTTTGGTGGAGAAAAATATCAAAATCCAAATGCTAACCATATCATGAAAAATTTACATGGATTTGGATGCAAGAGAATAGTAAAAAAATCAGATTCTGTTTGAAGGACACCATGAAAAAGTTAAGTCAGGCGAATAACTGGGAGAGATAAAGGTAATGTCTCAGTCTGAAGAATTACTATCTGTACATACGAAGAACTCTGCTGGGTGGGGGTAGGCAGGAAGGACTTGATAACTGGGAGAGATAAAGGTAATGTCTCAGTCTGAAGAATTACTATCTGTACATACGAAGAACTCTGCTGGGTGGGGGTAGGCAGGAAGGACTTGAACCCCAGAAGAAAAAGAAGCTGAGGGTGTCAATGGGCACCTCACAGAAGGAACATGACTGAAGGGCCTTAAGGGGCCACAGGCACTTACTCCTAGGAGTCAGAAAAACACAAAAGAAAACAGAGGCCCAAACTGGAGGTATGCATCTCATCATTAGGGATGTGACTGTGGGCCAGGCAGTAGGTACAGGACATTATGGCAGCTCAGGGTCTGTCCACACAGGAGTGTAAACAGAAATTATGCAGGATCCTATGCAGCAGTGAGTAGCGACAGAAGAGGTACTCATAGAGCTATGTGGATAGTTTAAAACAGAGATAAATGAAAAGAGAACAAAGTTTACACATAGCATCATAACAGTATGTGATTTAAAAACAGAATATACCAACCAACCCAATGTATTTTATAAGAAGTCAACATATAAGAGAACGCAGATATCAAGTCCATTAGAACAAGTGCTTGAAACTGGGCTATCAGAGAAAGGGCAAGAGGGTGTAGCTCAGAGAAACTAAATCAAAAGGTCCAGTGTGGACTAGTGGCGATGATGTTTTCTGAAATGGTTAATCATGCTCTGCTCTAAAAGGTCCATCAAGAATTAGGAAGAAAAGAAGAGAACCAGAAAATTTTTAGGATGTAAAATCAGCTCTATTTCATGTCTACCTGACAAGGTTCAAGTATAGTGAGCTGGGCCTGGACACAGATCTGAGTTCCTGACATTGGCTTCACTGCTACAAGACCACGGGAAAATCATTGTGACCAGGACTTTTGTTGCCTTATCTACAAAATGATAAGTAGCAGTAGGTAATCTAATCTCTAAGGTTGCTTCCAACTTTCTAGATTCTACCTATTCACAGATCTTCACTAAAAATGCAAAAAGCATCATGCAAATTAAAAATTAAATTGTATAGATTTTATTTAGTAACTAACTTCAGCAAAGTTAATACTTCTTCAAACAAAAATAACTGCAACATTCAGAAATAGCAAAGTTCCCAAGACTATAAAAAAAATAAGATTGCTCTCTAAATCCCTTTCACCATTAATTCTATAGTGGTACTTCTCTGGCACTATAGAAGAAAGATCTAATAGTTTCAAAAGATTTGTTTTATAAGGTTAACAGAGATTACCATTATCTAAATCAAATGGAACTGATTCTCAAAGTTTTGCTTTCCTTCTAGAGAATTCTATTAGAAAATGATGCCAACATCTGAAAACACTCATTATTACCTTTCCAGCTGACACGAGGCCCTACTTTTCTGTTCTGATCTGATTCTTCTAATGGTGTCCTGTCCACCTGAATCCCAGAGTCCTCCCTGCTTAAGGGCTGTTGATCATCTTCATTTTCACTTTCTTCAGACCAATTCTGATGAAAAGGGAAATATACCTTACCATTAGAGTATAAAACAATTGGAGCTATTTAGATTAAAAACATTTCAGAAGAAAAGCAAAAACTATACTAATGTCTTGAAAGTTATGATTATAGGATGTAATTATTTTTGGTGGCAAAAATCCCAAGATTCACAGCTCCTTAAGGGATACTTACATTGGTTCCACTAGACTTCCTAGTACTAATGATTTGGTGCAAAACATTAATAAATCTTCCACAATAAACTACTGTAACCTAGTAAAAAGTGTTCCTGTTTTAGTTAAGTTGCTCTAGGGCAGAAGGACCTTTGTCACTTAGCATATATTTATATTTTTAATAGTAAACTATTGCCACTTACTGGTGTGTCTACATTTGGACCAAGGTCAATTTCTTCACCTTCCATCAAGTATTTTCCCCAGTCAAAATCATTTTTATTTTCTAAAATGTAACAGAAGAATCTCATCAGCATTATCAAAAATACGTGGAATAGGTCCCAGAACTATAGGAAAAGAAGTCTTAAACTCAAAACAAAATGCACTCAGTTAATTAAAATTCAAAAATATTGAAACACTCAATAAATTAATACTCTTAACACATTTTTTTGGTGAGTGAATAACATGGTTTATTTCAACTAACACATTTTAATTAAAAAAAATTTCTTTACCCTCAAAAGTGATTTTTCTCTTAATATAATTGAAAGTAGTTTAGTCAGAAAGTAGTTTAACTTACATTGACAGAACTTAACTAAATGAAAATTGGCAATGGCAACTGGATCAGAAGCCACAGAAATAGTCTAGTTTCATAGGGTTTTTAAAATTTTTATAAAATATCACTGTCTAATAATTCAGTAATAAAGTGAATCTATTATGTGTTATGTATTAAAACATTTGGTAACATACCCACTTGTTTATCTCTTGGCGTTTCCACATAATTGCTGTTTGAAGGAGAATCGGACAGACATAGAAGAAGTAACAGTATGGAATAATGTGCATCTGTCTTTAAAACAAAAAATGAAGAATATGAACCACAGAGGTTGGTAAGAGGTTTCTTAACTAACCCCACATCAATTATGTGCCAATATTTTTCCTGGTTTGAGAAAACATGAATTGTACCTAAATAAATCCTAATCCCCAAACTTAAAAAGTTCAAATGGCTACACATAAGGAACCTGTCAAATATGCATCATCTGAATCATAATGAATGAAGAACTGTGATACAAAGCTAAAGTGAAGGACAAGCTACTAAGTAACTGGCCTGTCCTCTTCAAAAATGTCAAGGTCAGGAGAAGGAATCCTGAGGAACTACTCCAGACTAAAGGACACCAACACGTGAGCCTGAGTAAAGGGTGCATTGCAGTTTCTCTCACAATTTTTCAACTCAAGTTTTTAAAAATCAAATTACATTTAAAAAATGGTATTACTAAAGTTACCAAAAACTAAAAATACCCAAATGTGCTAAAGTCATAAACTATGCATGGAAAAAGGAGATGGGCTAAAGTCCAGGAAGGTGAGGAAGTCTCTGATGCCAAAAGACCACGTGAGCTCTCCCTCTGCTACGTACCCATCCTACAGTGAAACTAAGTTAAAAATGCATCCAACAACCTAACCTACTGAACATCATAGCTTAGCCTAGTCTACCTTATACACATTCAGAACACATACATTAGCCTACAGCTGGGCAAAATCATCTCACACAAGCCTATTTTATAGTAAGAGTTGAATACCGTGTAATTTATCTAATACTGTACTGAAAAGTGAACAGGGTGGTTGTATGGGTGTATCAGTTGTTTACCATCATGATCATGTGGCTCATTGGGAGCTGCAGCTCACAGCTACTGCTCAGTATCATGAAAGATTATTATACCACATGATCTGGGAAAAGATCAAAATTCAAAGCAGTTTCTACTCAATGTGTATCACTTTCTCACTCTCTGTAAGTCAGGGACAGACTGTAGTACCTTAATATACATCATAATAGGGTTCACCATAAACAAAAGCTAAATAACTACTAAACAATAAATATTTTGGTAGTGATGATCATGTCTTATTTATTTTGTATTCCTACCACCTAGTATGATGCTAGAGACACAGCAGACACATACTTGAAGAAAAACTCACTATATAAATCTGTTATTTAGTAATAATTGCTAATGTCAGAGTACTGTTTTGGGAAGGACTTTGTGCACCTGTTACCAGTGAAAGAGGAAAGAAGTGTGTAGAGAAGAAGGCAGGCACACACCACACCCCTGCAGACCCCCCTGCTTAGCAAGGACCAGAATGACCGCCCTGTAGCTGTGCAGGGAGCACAGAAGCATGTGTGGTGATGGAAGGAGGACCTAGATGGTGCCACCCCTCCCTCCTGTACCTTGCTCATTCTTTGGTGACATCTATGAAGGAGCTTGACACCTAGAGGACTCATTAATTGAGGTTATCACTTCACTACAAATCAGCAGTAATGGTCAAAACATAGCCTATCAACCAGTCTTATATCACCCTTTGACCAAAGTCATTAACTGTATTAAGGAAAAAAGAAGACAGGGAAGAGTCAGTCTGGCACTTCCATTTAGAAAATACAAATTATTTTACTTAACCTTTAAAACATGGGCTAACTTGCTCTTTTATGCTACCTCTTCATAGAAGATACGAAGGTCAAGAGTTGGAGCTCCATCTCCACATCAGCCACATGTACCTTCCTGGTGTCTGAAGCCCTGCACCGTTCCTGCTACTCTGGAAAGTCGACAAACACATGTACATCTATCTATGCGTGTATGTTGAAAGCAGCAGTCCCATGTGCTGTACATTGTATCAGAGGTGGTTTTAAATCTCAGGGATAACTTCTCCACTTCCACATTCTTTAGACCAAAAAGCTACAAGGAGCTAAAATTCCCAGTTCCAATGGGGTTTTGTAGATATGCAAAGTTTTTGCTTATTTATCCTAGAACAAACAACCGCAAATTCTCCTTTACCAAATTTCACTTAGAGCCTGGAGGATGGAAAGCTGTCATTTATTGAGTAACTCCTACGGATATTATATATTTCTATTTATAATACACTGAGGTTAGAGATTCACTTCTGGCATGACAGAGGGAGGTAGTCTTCAAATCCTCTCCTCAGGAAGTTGACTATAAAGTTGGACAAAACTGCCAACGACAGCATTTCAGGGCTCTCGATTAAACAGAGGCAAACAAAGGCTGAGAAGCATCTATCTATGAAAATGACTTCAGGTAAGAAGGTATTTTTACTGGCATATTTGTCTGGAGCTATCTCCCTTCCCCCACCAGCTCTACATTAGAGTTGTAACTCGACTAGGGCTGGACAGGAAGTGAAAACTAGCAGCTTTGTTGCTGTTGATGGAGGAGGCTGTGAAATTTCTCATATCACAGAGTTGTCAGTTAAATTGGTGACTGTAGTGGCAAGTGAGCAGAGAAGCCCGCAGCTGGAAACCTGTGCGGGGCAAGCAGTGAGCCGGCAGAATAGTTGTGTTTATCATGGAGCTCCTGGAGACAAGATATCCAAAAGGGGCTTGCTAAACTCTCTATATGTCTTTGGTTGACTAGAGGCTGTGATGTGCACAGCAGAGACTGGAATGGAGCTAAGCCACTCACACATTTTTGGCCCTTAGAGCTAGATAAGAGAAGCTAAGAGAGCTAATACAAAGCAAGGACAGTCTTGAAAATGGCCTTAAGTGTGAATGTACTTTTCAGTGCATGCACAAATACATCAAATTAATATTTAAAAATCATTTAATGTAATACATATTATATTACAGATTCAATGTTTGTTTCCCCCTCGAATTCATGTACTGAAACTCTAACACGCAATGTGATGGTATTTGGAGATGGGGTCTTTGGGAGGTGAAACGCTGAACGAAATGGTTCAGCATTGCACTGGAGCTGCTATACAGTGTAATTAGGCAGGAAATAAAAAACCGGGGGAAGGGGAGGGCAGTGCAGGCACAGGACATGGGATATGCCACAGCACAGCTGGGTTCTGTGGCTCCACTGTTTTCAGGGAGCCTAAGAACTTTGGACACACTATATCGGGTTCACCAGCTTATGCTAACAATATGACTTATGATCATTGCCTGCTTTGTTATGCCTGAGGTCCTTGGTTTGATCACTGGGGGACTAGAGCCTGCACAGTTAAGGTCAGCCACATGGGCAGTGCACATCCATGTGACCCCCAACAAAAACCCTGGACCCCAAGGCTCAGATGAGCTTTCCTGGTTTGCAACACTTTGCATGTGTGGTCACTAGGAGAATTAAAGGCATCCCCATGTGACTCCACTGGGAAGTGACATGTGGAAGCGTGGGTCTGATTTCTTCTGGACTTTACCCTACACATCTTTTCCCTTTACTCATTGTAAATCTGTATCCTTTCATTGTAATAAGCCTTAATAGTGAGGAAAGCAGCTTTTTTTGAGTTCTGTGTGGTCCTGGAAATCCATGACTGAATATGAAAAGGCTTAGAATAGCACTTGGCACCTAGTAAGTGCGTATAGGTAGTTACTATTACTAAGTGCTGAGAAGCCATGTAAAAGTTTTAAGATAGCCAGACAGTGCTCTTACTTGTGCCAATCTCTGGTCTCAATTTCCATAGGAGGTTGGGGCTGAGAAAATGATTAAACTACATCATGCTTTTTCTTTCACACACACCCTGAAGCACACTGGGTTTGATGACAATATTTAAGTCAATATCCAGGAGATTCTGCTGTACGCAGTGGACAATACTAACAGAATGAAAGTTTAAATATTAACAGAAACAAGTTGACAATCAGATTGTAAAGGGTAAAATATACAACCATCACAAAATATAATGCAATACCTTTTTGTCCTTTGTGCTCATAAGTGATGCATTTAGAAATTCCTCAGTTAATCTCTTCCAACTAGCAGCTTTGCTGAGATCAGAATGGATGATGAATTTTTCATAAATTCTAAAATATATTGTTAAAAAATCAACTGCATTGAAAAGCTCTATTAATAAAAATATTTGTAAGCAAATACATGTATTTCAGAAAATGTGTATGTGTATATATATATACATTTCTATTTATAAAACTGACTTACCCTTCTATTGTCTTTTCTACTTTGTGGCTGTTGACATCCAAGAAACGATGAAATCTAAAAGATACAATAAAATTCTTACACCAATCTTGTCATATAGCTAAGCAGACTAGTCTCATAGTCCTCCATAACCCACAGACATTCTACGCTGTTGTTTCCAGGAGTGCACCTCTCTTCCCACATCACTTCCACCACCCAGTCAAAAAACCACTGCATCTCACAGACTGCTCAAGCACCCTCTCCACAGGATCCAGGCCATCCTGAGCCTCCCGTCTTCTCATAATATCCTGTGTCTAAATCTGGCTTAGCACATTCTTTATCAGGGGTTCCTAACTTTTTATGCCACAGGAAAGTCCAGTGAAGGCTAGAGATCCCTTCTCAGAATAATGTTTTTAAATCATGAAATACAAAGGAAACCAAGCACTTTGAAAATACAGTTATGAAATATTTTTTAAAGTTTGTGATATAGTAAGATTTATTTCTTTATTAAAGCATTAAATAAAAAGATCTAGCAATGGATCCATAACTGTAACTACCATTAATGTACCAGTAATTGATATTTAGAAATATCAGCAACTATAATATGATACGAAATAATGTAATTTCTACTGGTGACACAGTCGTAGGTAAGCTAGTATTGCTTGTTGCTTTCACTCATAATGGAAAGAAATGCTATTTTTTAGTCAGAAGTTAGTGTTAATTTTTCTTGTTCAAATTCTTAACACCTGAATTGTCTTCAAGTCCTCAGATTAACAACTATTCTACATCATATGTAATTAACTTTCGTCTGTCTTCCTTAAGAATAGAGGCTATATCTCACTTACCTCTGAATTTTTAGGGCCTAGAACATGGCTGCAATTAAAAAAAGCAAACATGAATTGTTCATTTTTCCTGATGGATTAAAGCATCATAAAATTAAAGTATATCTCAGCTAATTTTCCATTTTTTAGGATCAAAGCCAACAATCTGCACTTAAAAGAAGTAAATTATACTACTAAATAACAGATCTAATTCTACTCCAGTAAATGGCTGAGTGTAACACCACTCATCTGTTAGTTTCTCAACATGTAAAATGTACCTCCCAACTCTAAAATGACATCCATCTACCTACTGCCACTTAGAAATACTAACAGAAACACTATTTTGGATACAGCACTTAAATTTGTCTTATATGACCTATTCAGACATTGTTATATTTATAAGTTACACTTAACTGAATTTATTTCAGAAACTTGGTGCGCTTTTAGACTCATTGTCTATTCTCATAAACGAAGTGGGCACTTTATGTATGATCATTAAAGTTGATTATCAAGATTACAGATTTTGAAAAACTACTAGTCACGATTTCTACTGAAATGAAACAGGTAGTATATTAACACTGACTAACATTCTTTCAGCAATAATGCCATTACAGGTAATGATCCTAACAATATGGCCTTAATTACATCCTCGATAAACAATGATTGGCGCTCTGATTTCACCTAAGTATTCAAACTAGAAAAATCTTGAAAAGGTACGTGAGAAACTGTATTAGAAGTTGTGTTATTAGGTGGCTTCATTTACTATGTGCCATAAACTGTTCTAGGCGTTGGAATGAGAAATGAATAAAGCAGGCCAAGATCCCTACCACTGCTGGAACTACATTCTAACTGGAGGCAAAGGTGGAGGAGACAAACGGTAAACAAAGATAGTCACCCAATGCGTTATGCTATGCGTTTTGGAAAAAGAAAAAGAGACCAGGGTGGGAGACCTGCGGAGAGGACCGAGCAGGGAGAAGGGTCGGTAGGAAGAGTTTTAAATGCGGCGTGGCCATAGTTTCCCTCGAAAGCTCACTTCCCATCTATTTCAGAAATGACGCCTGACTTGCAGCGGTGCGCGCCACGAGCAACGGCCGGGCTGGGGAGCAGGACGCGCACATCCCGACCTCCAGGAGCGCGCTCCCGAGGGGGAAGCCGATCCCGACAACCGCAGCCCACTGCGCTGGCACGCGTGGGTCACCCCCCGCTGGGACGCAGAGGGCACCGGGCCCAGCCGCGACGGAGGGGTCCGCGAGGGCTTGGCGGGGTCGCGGCCTCACCTGAAGCTGGACCAGGCGAAGTTCAGCGCTAGCTGAAAGTTAGGATCCGCTTCGTCCTGGAGGAGGGTCACAAGGCGAACGAGCGCCCGCACGTCGCGCTCCTGCTGCTGGTCCAGGCAGCTCCAGGACGGGCCCGGCCGAGCCATACCAACCCAGCGGTCGCCGCGCCGGTGAGTGCCGACTGAGTCCTCTCTCGCGAGAACTTGCATCCGCGGGTCCGCTCCCGCGAGAGTTCGCGTTCCCACTGCCTTTGAGCCTCGGACAGGCCAGGCGTTCTCGCGAGAGTTGACCTTCCCGTGGTCGGGGGTATCCGGCGCTGAACTTTGAATCCTCTGTGTGTGTTCTCGGTCTCACTTGGGTAAATTTAGGAGTCTGCAAAGAGCCGTTATGGTTAATCACAGTGGTAAATGTCTTTGGCAGATATTGGCTGCTGGTTTAAGTTCGGATGTTTCCAGAGCAGCCAGCTAGTTTCTCATCATTGTATTTGTGCCTGTCTTTTCAGGTCCATCCTCCAGGCTTCATTTTCTCCTTGTGGAGGTGATCGCCAATGATAGTTCCGTTCTCCTCTGCTTGCACAGGCCACACTGCATGCCCACACTGCAGCAGGGGTCGGCACAGCGGGCTGTCCCTCGCGCTGAGCACAGCACCTCTATCTCAGGCTTGTGACTTCCAGGGACAACGGGACTTTATAAATCCTGGTTGGGTTTCCTCTTTGTTGTTTCTTATTAAAACTAAAGCTGTAAATTGTGTTAAATATTGCTCAGAACCTATTAAATAGACCTTTTTCCTTTTTTTTTTCTTTTAGGGATTTCCTAGGTTGTTGGGGTCATTACCTTGCATTCCTCTAGTAGCAGATACACTACTTTCTTTGTCCTTTTGGGCTGCTTTAGCGAAGTACCACCGATCTGGTGGCCTATAAACAATGGAAATTTATTTCTCACAGATACGGAGGGTTTAATTCAAGATCAGGGTGCCACCATGGGTGAGTGAGGGCCCACTTCCTGAAAGGAAATGAGAGAACCAAGCAAGACTTGACCAAAGTGACTCCATCTCAAGAGGCTAAAACTAACCCCAAGTCAGTGTCACAGTCAGTGTCACAAGTCAGTTACTAAGAAAAACCACAAACTTACCGAAAAACCCCCTCTTGAAAGGCATTACACAAACAGAAAAAAGGGGAACTAATCGTGGCGACCCCCCAAACGACCAAATCAGCTTGAGACAAACCAGCCCTAGTTAAAGGTCAACCTATCCCAGTTTTGCCTGGAAGGAAACTCCCTAACTGCTTCTCCTGTGTGTATAAAAATCCTGCTAAAACATTCACAGGGGCTCCCGAACCAAGTCCCGCTGCGTCGGGCCGGTTGGGTGCCCAAGCTCGAGCTTGTATTGCTTTAATAAAGGCTCTTTGTCTTTACATGCCATCTGAGTCCTTAGTGGTTCTTGGGACTTGCCGTGTTTCGGGCATAACAGAAATTTCTGGCTGTGTCCTCACATGGCAAAGGGCAAGGGAGCTCTCTGGGTCCCTATTATGAGGCAATAACCCCACTATTGAGGGCTCCCCCCTCATGATGTGATCACACCCTAAAGGCCCAACCTGATAACACTGTCATATTAAGCATGAGGATTTCAACAAGTATTTTATTCTTGTTGCTACTTGATTTCTCTCTCTGCTACTTCATGGTTAGTGTATAGTATTGCCACAGATTTCTGCATATTAATTTTGTACCCTGCAACTTCGCTGGATTCAGATATTAGATCTAGTAGTTTTGGAGTGGATTCTTTAGGGTTTTTTATGTACAGTATCATGACATCTGCAAACAGGGACAGTTTGACTTCTTCCTTACCAATCTGGATGCCTTTTATTTCTTTGCGTTGTCTGATTGCCATAGCTAGGACTGCCAGTACTATGTTGAATAGAAGTGGGGTAAGTGGGCATCCTTGTCTTCTTCCTGATCTTAAAGGAAAAGCTTTCAGCTTCTCGCTGTTAAGTATAATGTAGGCTGTGGGTTTGTCATACATGGCCTTTATTATGTTGAGGTACTTGCCCTCTACACCCATTCTGTTGAGAGGTTTTGTTGTGAATGGATGTTGAATTTTGTCAAATGCTTTTTCAGCATCTATGGAGATGATCATGTGGTTTTTGTCCTTCTTTTTGTTGATGTGGTGGATGATATTGGTGGATTTTTGAATGTTGTACCATCCTTGCATCCCTGGAATAAATCCTACTTGATCATGATGGATGATGTTTTTGATGTATTTATTAATTTGGTTTGCTAATATTTTGTTGAGTATTTTTGCATCTATGTTCATCAAGGATATTGGTCTGTAATTTTCTTTTTGTGTGGTATCTTTGCCTGGTTTTGGTATTAGACTGATGCTGGCCTCATAGAATGAGTTTGGAAGTATTCCCTCTTCTACTCTTTGGAAAACTTTAAGGAGGATGGGTATTAGTTTTTCACTAAATGTTTGATAAAATTCAGTGGTGAAGCCATCTGGCCCAGGTATTTTGTTCTTAGGTAGGTTTTTTTATTACCTATTCAATTTCCTTGCTGGTAATTGGTCTCTTCATATTTTCTGTTTCTTTCTGGGTCAGTCTTGGAAGGTTGTATTTTTCTAGAAAGTTGTCTATTTCTTATAGGTTATCAAGTTTTTTGGCATATAATTTTTCATAGTATTCTCTAATAATTGTTTGTATTTCTGTGGTGTCTGTAGTGATTTTTCCTTTCTCATTTCTGATTCTGTTTATGTGAGTAGACTCTCTTGTTTTCTTGGTAAGTCTGGCTGGGGGTTTATCTATTTTGTTTATTTTCTCAAAGAACCAGCTCTTGCTTTCATTGATTCTTTCTATTGTTTTATTCTCAATTTTATTTATTTCTGCTCTAATATTTACTATGTGCCTCCTTCTACTGACTTTGGGCCTCATTTGTTCTTCTTTTTATAGTTTCATTAATTGTGAGTTTAGAATGCTTGTGTGGGATTGTTCTTCTTTCTGGAAGTAGGCCTGTATTGCAATATACTTTGGTCTTAGCACGGCCTTCACTGTGTTCCACAGATTTTGTGGTGTTGAATTATTGTTGTCATTTGTCTCCATATATTGCTTGATCTCTGTTTTTATTTGGTCATTGATCCATTGGTTATTTAGCAGCATGTTGTGAAGCCTCCATGTGTTTGTGAGATTTTTCATTTTCTTTGCATTATTTATTTCTAGTTTCATTTGTGGTCTGAGAAACTGGTTGGTACAAATTCAAAGTTTGTTAATTTACTGAGGTTCTTTTTGTGGCCTAGTATATGATCTATTCTTGAAAATGTTTCATGTGCACTTGAGAAAAATATGTATTCTGTTGCTTTTGGGTGCAGAGTTCTGTAGATGTCTGTTAGGTCCATCTGTTCTAATGTGTTGTTCAGTGCCTCTGTGTCCTTACTTATTTTCTGTGTGTGGTTGATCTGTCCTTCAGAGTGAGCGGAGTGTTGAAGTCTCCTAGAATGAATGCATTGCATTCTCTTTCCCCTTTTAATTCTGTTAGTATTTGTTTCACATATGTAGGTGCTCCTGTGTTGTGTGCACAGGTGTTTATAACAGTTATATCTTCTTGTTGGATTGACCCTTTTATCACCATGTAATGTCCTCCTTTGTCTCTTCTGAATTTCTTTGTTTTGAAGTCTATTTTGTCTAATACAAGTACTGCAACTCCTGCTTTTTTCTCCCTGTTAGTTGCATGAAATATCTTTTTCCATCCCTTCACTTTTAGTCTGTGTATGTCTTTGGGTTGAAGTGAGTCTTTTGTAGGCAGCATATAGATGGGTCTTGTTTTTTGATCCATTCTTTAACTCTATGTATTTTGATTGGTGCATTCAGTCCATTTACATTTAGGGTGATTATCGATAGGTATGTACTTATTGCCATTGCAGGCTTTAGATTTGTGAACCAAAGGTTCAAGGTTAACTCTTCCTTACTATCTAAGAGTCTAACTTAGCTCAATGTACTATGACAAACACAATCTAAAGGTTCTTTTCTTTTTCTTCTCCTTTTCTTCCTCTTCTATTCTTTATATATTACGCATCATATTCTGTGCTCTTTGTCTGTCCGTGGATTGACTTGGGGATAGTTAATTTAATTTTACATTTCCTTAGTAATTAGCTGTTCTACTTTCTTTACTGTGGTTTTATTACCTCTAGTGACAGCTATTAAACCTTAGGAACCCTTCATCTATAACAGTCCCTCCAAAATAGACTGTAGAGATGGTTTGTGGGAGGTAAATTCTGTCAGCTTTTGCTTATCTTGAAATTCTTCAATCCCTCCTTCAAAAAATTTAAATGATAATCTTGCCGGATAAAGTAATCTTGGTTCAAGGCCCTTCTGCTTCATTGCATTAATTACATCATGCCACTCCCTTCTGACCTGTGACGTTTCTGCTGGGAAGTCTGATGTTAGCCTGATGTGCTTTCCTTTGTATGTGATCTTATTTCTCTCTCTGGCTGCTTTTAGTAGTCTGTCCTTATCCTTGATATTTGTCATTTTAATTACTAAATGTCTTGGTGTTTTCTTCCTTGGGTCCCTTGTGTTGGGAGATCTGTGGATCTCCATGGCCTGAGAGACTATATCCTTCCCCAGACTGGGGAAGTTTTCAGCAATTACCTCCTCAAAGACACTTTCTATCCCTTTCTCTCTCTTCTTCTTCTTCTGGTATCCCTATAATGCAAATATTGTTCCATTTGGATTGGTCACACAGTTCTCTCAATATTCTTTCATTCATAGATATCCTTTTTTCTCTCTGTGCCTCAGCTTCTTTATATTCCTCTTCTCTAGTTTCTATTTCATTTATCATCTCCTCCACTGCACATAATCTGCTTTTAGTACCCTCCATTGTGCTCTTCAGTAATTGGATTTCTGACCAGAATTCATTCCTGAGTTCTTGAATATCTTTTTGTAGCTCCATGAGCATGCTAATGATTTTTATTTTGAAATTATTTTCAGGAAGATTCATGAGGTCAATGTCATTTAAATCTTTCTCAGGACTTGTATTAATAATTTTACTTTGAACCAGTTTCCCTTGGTGTTTCATATTTGTATACGGCACCCTCTAGTTTCCAGAAGCTCTACTGTCAAGCTGCTCAGCCCCTGAAGCAATGTCTGGGGTGGCAGGGTAGGGTATTGGTGCCTGGGGGTAGGAAAGAGCTGTTTCCTGCTTCCCAGCTGCTATGCCTGTCTCGACTGCCTGAACCAGTGGGCCAAGTACCCCAGTATAAGCCTCTATGCTTTGTGTTTGTAGTTGCTTTAGACAGGTCATCCTCTGGCTGGCCTAATACCAGGTAGAGTTTGCCCATTTGCGAGCCAAGTGGGGCTGGCCGGGAGAAAGGCACAGTAGGCTGTGTATTATGGAGGGGGTTCTTGGAGCTGTGTAGCCAGGCAGGGAGCTGGAGCACCTGAGGATTGTGAAAGCTCTCAACTTGCTGGGCACAGTGCACCCAGACAATTTTGTCTACCTGTCCTTTCTCCTGAGTAGTAAGCTCTGTGCAATCCTTGCCCCTTTACCAGCCCTCTTGCTAAGGGCTTCCTTGTTACAAAGTCTCTCAGACTTCCTGTCTTTCTTTTGTCCCAGAGCAGCCTTATATGGATCCCTGCTTTTCACAAGCAGCTGAAATCTCAGTCTCTCCAGGAATTCTGCCTGTCTTAGCTTTCCAACCCCCTAATCACGAGAGTACCATGCAAACACCAGGAAATGTAAGTTTGTGCTTCCAGGGCAGATCTCTGGAGTTAGATATTCAGCAGCCCCAGGACTCCACTCCCTCCCTGTTCAATTTCTCTTCCTCCCACTGGTGAGATGGGGTGGGGGAAGGGCTTGCGTCTCACAGGGCCACAGCTTTGGTATGTTATCCTATTCTGGGAGGTCTGTTCTTTTCTCCATGTGTGTGCAGTCTGGTGCAGTCCTTTTTCCGGTTGCTCTTTCAGAGTTGGTTGTATGAATTATATTTTTGTATTATATGTGGTATTAGGAGGAAGTCTCTGCCTCACCTCTCATGCCACCATCTTTCCCAAATATTTTCATGTCCCCCACCAGAGAAGGGGCCCTGCAAGCAGTTCACATATACCCTGAGAGTGTTCCCCAGGCTCACTGAGGTCTTGTGTAGTGCCAATCATTGGAAGTAGCACCCAACAATGCTCCTAAGCTTTCGTTGGAGGTAGGACTTGCAGGGAAGGAATAATCCTGCTATGTATGATGATGTACAAGTAATTGTGTGGATGTATGTTTTTATTTATCTTGGGTAAGTAACTAGGGGTGGAATTTCTGGATTATTGAGTAGAAAGTGTAAAAAGTGTACTCCATCTCCCCTGTTGCTCTTATCTTCCATTAGTGTAGTACATTTGTTACAAATGAAAAAACAATATTTATTCATGAGTATTAAATGAAGTCTGCCATGTACATTAGGGTTCGCTCTGCATTGTGGACTACATAGGTTCCAGCACATATACTGTGTCTACCAGTAAAGTACCATAGAGAATAGTTTCACTATACCAAAATTACCCTGTTTTCTGCGTATTCATCCTTTCTTTTGTCCCTGAAATTCCTGGGAGAAATTCATCCTCACCTTCCATTGGTAGCTTCATCCAAGATTAATTATCTCAATTCATCAGCAACATTCCTTAAAAATTCAAATCATGTATGATCAGACTCCAAGTGATTTCAGTGAGGAACACATTTTGCTTGAAATTAGTATACCTCACCTTGCCTTGGCAGATTCATGTGAGATTACTGACGTGAATTCATTGTAAACATTTCTAAAAAATTGAAAACATGTATGATCAGTCTCCAAGAGACATCAGAGATTAAAATATTTTCTTGCTTGAAGTTAGTATACCTCACATTGCACTGGTGGGTCCATCATAGATTTCCCATGTCAATGCATCGGCAGCATTGCAAAAAAGTCAAAACATGCATGATCAGCCTCTAAGTGACTTAAGAAAGTAACATATTTTTGCTTGAAAGTGAAATGTGTCACCATGCATAGGCCACTCCATACGGTATTACTGATGTCAGTTCAACTGCAGCATTTCTAAATATTTCAAAACATGTATGATCAGACTCTAAGTGACTTCAGACAGTTACATATTTTTAGTAGAAATGATTACACCTCACCTTGCACTGACAGGTCATTCAGAGATTACTGATATCAATTCACCGG